ATATCGTTGTGGCACTGGACAATCATCAGACATGAATAACGTATGTACGGTAAGTATTCGAGAAGCCCCTAGCATGGTAGCTCGGAAGTCACATGGCGTAATCGTTATTCGTGATTAAAGCATTCTCGCCCTGCGGACCGCTTCTTTCCTCTTGAAAGGACTCGAACAGAGGCAGAACACGTCTCCTCTCAGATTTCAATATGAATCCCCGGGTCGGAGTCGGTGTTTTTGTCTTTAACAAGGAGGGCCAGGTGGTCCTCGGCAGGCGGTCCTCGGCAGGCGAAAGAACAGCCACGGTGCCGGTAGGTTGTCCCTGCTTTGTGTGATTTTTGTGTTATGGGGATATCTGACCATTCTCTTAGGTACCTGGGCTTTCCCTGGAGGTCATCTTGAATTCGGGGAATCGTTTGAAGACTGCGCGGCACGAGAAGTCCTTGAAGAGATTGGCCTGAAGGTCTCGGACGTTCATTTCCTTACGACAACGAATGACGTGATGGTCGATGATGGAAAACACTATATCACTATTTTCATGGGATGTACCGTCTCTGGGGACAATCTCGAGCCTCAGGTCAGTAATCAGAGAATATTGTGCCTCTGTCTACATTGGAACATATCTGACTGATGCTTTATAGTTGCTGGAACCCGAGAAGTGCGATCGGTGGGAATGGGTGACTTGGGAAGAGATCCGCTCGTATCTGAGTCCGATACATAGTGATGGACCGAAGGCACATCGCAAGTTGTTTCTGCCACTGGTGAATCTCGTCAAGCAGCGACCGGGATTCCACCCGACCGGTGCCAGTCGTGGATAAAAGGGTGCCATTCGCATCCAGGCGTTTTTCTCTGATTCAAATAGATAGAAGTTCACCGAATAAATCATGCCCAGCCGCAGAGTGGTATAGTTTTCAATTTAGCAATAAGGGACTCGATAATAAGTTCAATTAAGTGCTGGTCAAGGCTGGTTGGAGCGTTGAGGCCGCATAGGAGCAGAACCACCGGGATAATCCAGCCCACAACGGCATAGTGTTACTTTGGGTCGATGTCCCTACTCTTTCCCTAAGGGAGTGACTGTGCGCCCTATTACGAAGCTATCTAGGTCAACTCTGCTTATGAGCCTTATTCGCCTCTGATTCCGCGGGCCTCCTGCACGCCTGCAAATTGCCAGCATAGCATCGACGCCGCGTGCCCCGCTACATCCGCCCTATCTGAAGTTACGTTGCACAGCCCCGGCATTATAGAATATTTCTCGTCCCAGTTAATAATAGGGTATAAAGCGGTGTAGAATTTGGTGCGAAATTGAATGTGTTTCTAGAACGAAATGATTAGCCAGACTGAGATGTAGAAGAAGCAACAAGAAATTGTGAGAGATAATAATAGGAGCAGAGGTTATTACAAATAACGGTATTCGCAAAAGTGAGGAAGAAACGGGCCACAACGATGACTTCGACGATCGCGGTACGAGCATATAAGAGAGGAAGACGTAGGACTAACGAAAGGCAGATAGATGGGAGGCTCTTACGATTCCTTTTTCCCGAGAAATAATTTCGTGAATTCCGGTCTTATATAAATAAAAAGCCGAGGACGTCCGCCGGCTGGATCCTATATCAATATCAATATGAGGTCCCGGTAACGAAGATTCAGGAGCGCCCCAGGACGGCTACCTGTGATAGCGGCCGGCTGGTAGTAAAGGAGAAGCTAGACACAGTACCAGCCGCAAAGAAATGTCATCCCCGTAGTGGATAGGACCACTCGGGCAAACTCAGCCATATCTTTAATATATATAGTCGCTTTCGGTCGTAACTATAGTAAGCACCTATAGACGATTAGCTATATTCAGTCTGATTAAACCGAACAACAGACTTACGTCCTCGATCTTAACAATCGTGTCTTTACTAAGCCTATACCCAACTTCCGCCTTGTAGATCAGATACCACCATCTCTAGAATATCTCGAGCGAGCTTTTATACTTGATTCCCGCTATTCGTCGCCCGTTCTTCCCTCGGCGCTAATCACACCGCTAGGAGAAGAGGGCTTTTAAAAAGCGGACGGTCTCCTCGGTATTAGAGAGCTAGTGTAAACACTCCGCCGGATCGCGCTTGCCACCTTTACAGAACCTAGATGTTACGCACTGCAAACTGGTCACAGTTAGGGTTAGTAGATCACGGGTTATACTCACAAGGGATCTCTGATCTTCCAACGTCAACGATCTGTCTCTCAACCGTACCGTTGCCAACAGGCCTTACACGGGCTAAGCCCTTTTGAGGGTATCGAGGAACGATGCCAGGTAGAGCGCTCAATTGATCTATACCGAGGTATTGGTCAATTGATAGGTGTTGTCGAATTATAATCAAGAAGTCACACTGGTAATCCAAAGGTAAACACAAGTAACAATGTATAATTAAAGACGAAGAACTAAACTAGATACTGGCAATGAGTGTCCTTATATATCCTTCGCTTCCTACTCCCTGGGTGACTCCCCTGGAGTCACTGCCGGAGTCACGGTCACGTGACTGGTTCATCTGGGGCCGCCCCGGATGACCAACAAGGAAGGCGGTGTGGGCAGGCAAAACAGGTCGATTGGGTCTCGACGGCCCGTCCGTGCAACATGTGGGGTTGCCATCGATTGGTAACTAGTAACTAGTATGTCCATAACAACTATCACTATAATCATCACCACCTTGCTAGTAGGCCTATCGAATAGGCTTTCGGCCAACATTGCTAAGTATCTTAAAGATCTTTTGAAAAAGAACCCGATACACCTCACGGGTTTCAAGGTTCATAAAAGCATAGACGTATATGTTAAGACCTTTTAAAGTTAGCATATGCTTAACATATATTAGACATCCGCACCGGCCTATAAAGCCTAAAGCCCAAAGCCTAACCCGCCCCAACCCGCCCCAACCCGCAAGTGGGCGGGGCTTTGGGCCCGGACCTCGGGCCCATTGGTGGGCTTTGCGGAAGTTTAAGTATGCCTATGCTGAAATGATAGTGTAATATCGTTATGCTGAACTGTCCGAGAACACCGCGGCGAGAACTGAATAGGGGGACAGTTTATTGAGGGAGTTTCTCCGTACTAGAGCAAGTGGCACTAGAGCCAAGTGGAAAAGGTGGGGAACTTTTAGTTCTGACAAGGTACATAATCTTGGAAGTACACCTGGGCGTGGTATATAACCCAGCCATGCCCATCCCCCAATTACCGCGACGTCATTCACTCCCACCGCTACGGCCAAGAACAACAACAATGAGAGAAGGCCTCGACCTCCCCGAATTCGGGTACCTCCCATTCGACCATTTCGTCGTAGTAAGCGCCCCCCGTTCCTCAATACACATCTGCGAGAGCAAGTCCATGCTAAGCTCTCAGTTTGCCCAGGCAAACTGGGACACGACATCCCCGCTCTCCAAAAACGAGCAAAAAAGAATCCTTGTTGAGAAATGGATCGCGCTAGGAAAATATGGGCGAAACGTATCTATCTACCCACCAACCCATTCATTCAATGATCACCACCCACTGACCAAACTCCCAGGACTGGGCCCTCGCCATGTTCGATGACCCAATCATCGATCATGTTCCAGAGGGGGTACCGCAAGACCTCCTCTCAGAGGAAGACCGCGCAATCAGCAGCCTGCTCTCGACAGTCCTATGGATCCGGACCTGGTTCGGCGATCCTACAGATAAAACAAGCCAAGAAGCCGCAGACACGGCGTACGCCCGACTCCGGAAGGAAGTCCTACAGCAGGGCCGCGAGAATAACCACGTTTTCTGCATCCCCGAGGAGTTCGTCTTCGAGGATCGGGAGGAACTAACAGCAGATGCCCAGCGGGACCAGGATGTGATTGAAGGCGTTGCGACAGGCCGTCCGGGTTCCGTACCGGGTTATCTACTTGCGGCGCTGATGCACTGCCCTGAGCTGTTTGAGGGGATGTCGGATGGCGACTGGCGGCATTTTGAGGGGGAGGAGCGGGCTGAGGAGCTGGCGGAGAGTGATCGGACACAGAAGGCGCTGGTTCTTGTTGCAGATTGGAAGGCCTGTGAGGAGGGTTGGGTGCTGGCCCTGGCGGTGAATCACCGGGGGGAGATCCTTCCGGTTAGGGTGCGTGAGCGGGCCACGGAGGCGGCGCAGATTGCGGTGAATTGGTTTGAGGGCGAGCCTTTGTCGGAGATTGTGGATGATAAGGATGAAGACGTGGAGTTTTACCTGGGGGAAGGGAATGGGTGGGAGTAGCTATAAGTAGTAAATTCCTAGAAGCTCATATATCAACCTGCTCTATTGTATATAAACAACAGAAATCTGGCCACCTAGTGATGATGGGCGCGGTGTCTTAGGTGCTTCCCGATACTCCGAGGCGCCAGAGTTGGCTCTACATCGTCAAATGGAACAAATATTTCATGCACGGGTTCATCCTCCGCAATCTCGATGCCTACGTGGACGGCTTGTTAGCAGCATACACAGAAACGGGGCTCCTTCAGGGATGACTCACGCTTGATATTGAACATCTCCTCTTGGGTCGGCTTCTCGCCTCGCTTGATCTTAGCCTGGGCGACCGTATTGTCGAATACGACCGTGCACCTAGAGACGCTGTCAGACAAGAAAAAGGATCTAAACAAAGAAAACATAACACTTACTGAACCGTGTTCACATAAAGACCTCCCGCAGAATGCCAAAACGGGTGATCATGTGTGCCAGTAGTCCGACATAGGGCATTCTTGGTGATAGAGTACTTCGCGTTGCCCAGCGTATTCACGGCGCCAATAACTTCAGCCATATCGCCCTTATCGCCGCCGTGGGCGAGGTTGTGGTTAAAGACCTCATACCTGGAGCCGGTGACGGTGGTGTCAGAATCGGAGTTAAAGAGATGGTAAGTGAACTTCTCATGCGCGTGGCCATAATTCCGCGCCGTGTCGCGCTTGGCGGTGCTCCCCAAGCCCAAGACGCCGCGCGAGGCCCAGTCAGCCCCCCACGACTTGTCGGCCGTTCTGGTCTCGCCGTTCGTGGCGGTCCAGGTCACCTCCTGCACCATGTTATTGAGGATGCCGTTGAACCACCCTTGCATATTTTGCTGCCAGCCCGCACACACGTCCGACTGTTCTTATTCGGATTCCCGCCTTCTTCCATCGCGTTCCAGGGGAACTCGTCACAGCTGAGCCAGTTGTTATTACCGTTGGCGCCGATGGGCGTACCAGTCAACCCGGAGAGCACCCTTGAATTGTCCACACATTCGTCCTTCCACGATTTGTCCTTTTCCTGTTCCACACCATTCTCATCGATGTACTTGTACTTGTGCTTGGACTTGGCACCGCACACCCACTGTCGATTGGTGTCTGGGGCGCCCTGTTTGTTTATATGGAAGGTTGCTGTCAAGGGTCCCGTACCCAGACCCTCGTCTGTGAAGAACTTCAATACATTATGGCAAATACCGTGGATTTCTCTGTCTCGCACCCGGTTGTCCGGGAAGTACTTGCAGTTGTACATCACGGCAGGGATGGAGCTAATGCAGCTCTGACTGGAGTCGACGTCCATCGGGTCGCCGTCATCATCGTCGGCACGTCGGGTCAGGCTCGACGGCTTAGGCTTCCATTCGCAGGTATCACCGTCACACCCGCCGTTCTTGCACTGACCCCCGTCATTGCAGGTGAAGAAGCCCTTGTTAAGACCAAACGCGGCAACCTCCTCGGGAGTCTTGCGCTTCTGCAGGGAACGAGGCGCCAAGAGGCGAGTCGGTGTATCCCAGCCATCGTCCACAAACTCGGTGGCGTTGTAGATTGGGATAAACCGCTCTGCGCCGAGAAGGTCGGGCTCGAGGGTGCTGCGCTTGGTGTTCGAGGTGGAACCATGAGTTTTCGCTGGAAAGTCTTAGCGCCAACGCAGAGATGGACTCAGAGGAATCTGCAACTTACGCTTCAATGCATACTCGCCAAGCCATTTGAAGCTACAATCACAAATGTCAGTTCTGACAAGGGCATCCTTGGAATTGGCATGATACTCACACCGCTCGTCCACCGTAACCTAGTCCCGCGTCAGTACAAGGGCTACATATCGTGCAGGGCGCGCGGAATTACTCACCAAAGTTATAGAAGTACTTGACGCACACGTCGTATGAAGCAGCCGGCGGGTTATCGATTCCTCCGCTGGCTCCCGCGTCAACTTGGAAACGCAGCGTATTATTCACGAAGCCGACAATCTGAGCATCGAGAACGGGCCCGCCTTTGCGCATGGGTGCGTTAACTTTGATCCCCAGATTCACCTCTGGAGTGACCATGAGTCGATATGAACGCTCGCCTCGACACTGGCGTCCAGAATGGGCGTCATGTCGGTACCAGACACCCGTTTCGTGTCCTTGTCGTCGGGCGTGGGGAATTTCTGATAATCGTCGGCCTCATCTATCTGCGGGAAGTACATTTCGTACTTGGGGAAGGCCATTCTGGCTCCCGCTTTGAGTTTCCCAGCGATCGTGGCGCCAGCCTCCATCTGTCCGTACAGATCAAGCGTTGGCCCCACCGCTGCGATGCCCTTGATGGCCAATCCGGGGTAGGAGAGAGTGTCGATGATCCTGATTCGAGGGCTGCGGTATATCATATCGGCGCTGCCGTCGATCTCTAGTATAGCTTGTACCTCGGGATGCAGCTCGAAATAGGTGTAGACTGTGTCGATATTCAGGGGAACAATCGTGCCTTGTGCATAGTATGACCACCGGGCGTTCATACCAAACTTGGCATCCAGCGTCACGTCGAGCCCGGCCTTGGGCGTCATGCCCTTCCGTGCGCATTGCGCCCGTCGGCTATAGAGGAGCATCTTCTTGTGAATGGACAGCGGCAACTTGCCTTCGTCTGACGTGCGTACGGTGGTCAGCTTCTTCAGCCACTCGGAGTAGGTCCCCCACCAGCGCTTCTCCCGGCGGAGCTCTCGTTTGCTCTTCAAGCCGGCCTCCGACTCATCCCCGGTCATCTCATCCCAGTACGGAACGAGGTTCGTATAGTCGATGCGCAGGTTGACCGTAGAGTCAGCACGCTTGATGAGCTCAAACCGGTAATCGATGGTCAAGTTGTACACGCTTGAGTCGTGACCGTTCAGGGACCGCTTTCTCTTGTGGAAGTCTGAGAGACTCGACGGATTCACTGGCTCCATGGAGACAATTCGTGCGTACGGACCGGTTCCAATATGAGCTGGTAGCCCAATGATTGTATCATAGGCGCCGCCTTGGAAGATCCGCTGGCATTTGTCTTCCCGGCCCTTACGGCAGTACACTAGATGATGCGACTCTTCGTGCTCAAAGACCCAGTCCGTCAGATTGGGGTCATCGCGCGCGAGGGTTTCGCGCTTTTTGATCGGATTCCCGGTGCCGTCTTCCGCGTGCGTGAATTGGAAATCGCTGGGGAACTCCCCTTGCAGCGCGTCTTCGTCGCCGTCCATGACAATGAATCCGTACGGATCGTCACCGACGTCCGTCTCGTCGGGCCCATGGGGGTCGCGATTGTTGTTGCCGTAGTTGTCCGTATACCCGGTGTTATTTCGAGATTACCGGCGAGTGGAGGGAGCTATTATATCTTAGGTAGTTAAAGAAGAAGAAGAAGAATTAGAATTATAAAGGTATACTATTCTAGGTATATAGCCTATTAAGCGGGTAAGATACTATAGCTTGGAGGAGAATATAATATATTGTCTGGAGCGCTAAGACTAATTCTTGCTAGTCTCTTTTAGGGACCCTAGGGGGTCCCAGACTATAAGGGATCTATCTCTCTAATGTCGATATGTATATCATGTGATGAACCCCTCTCGGATCGGCCACGACATGGGTCGATCTGCTAAGACTGCCTGACATGGTATTCTCTTTGTAAGGATCTTTATCCGTTACACTTCACCGGGTTCGATAGTAGGACGATTGTACCTAGTCTATTTAACCTTATAGTTCGTACGAGTAGTGCCGCGATAACGCCTTTTATACTCGTCCTGATATATAGACCTGAGGAAGTAATCGTTTGGTATAGCCAGCTTTTTTAGACACTCAGGATAACCCATCTATTATCGTTTGTGCAAAGACTCTAACTCTAACGGAAAAGCAGAAAGAAAAATAAATACAATGAACATAGTGTTAACCCTGACAAATGGAGACAAAGGTACTATAATTCCATATATGTTCTCTTCTCTTTCTTTATGCCAGTATAAGATCTAACCAAAAAAATCTGCAAACCGCAACTCTTTCAAAGGGTCACCTATCATACCTACAAGCCCGCAACATACATCAACCCATATCCAAGCGTGACAATTACCACAAAGGACATAAGACTGGCCGGGATGCCGCGAGTCAGGAAATGGCGGACTTGGAGATATCGCTGGCCCGTCTGGGGTACTTCGGTCATGATAGCAGCTAAGAGAAACAAGTTAGCAGAGAGCTCGATACAGATGAGCTGAGGGAAGAGCATACTCATATTAGGAAATCCACTCGTGGGCAAAGCCATCGCAACAGAGCACATCAAGGCACTGGCCATGACCAACAAGTTGGGGTGAGGATCCTCCATGCTAACGCCGATCTGGCGGACAAGCGGCAGGATGATAAGGGCGGCGACGGTGTGCGAGATGAAGGTGGCCATGACAAGGATGAGAGAACAGAAGACCAAGAGGACGCTGTACAGACTGAGGTTCTCGACGCGGGTGGTGATTCCCATGGCGATCGTGTGCAGCAAGCCAGATGAGGTGACGGCCTTGCCCAGACACAGACCACCGGCAGCGAGGATGATGATCGTCCAGAGGAAGTTGTTGAAGTCCTCTTTGTTGAGGATGCCGGTGCCGAAGAAGAGGACTAGAGGGATGATGGCGATGACGCCCATGTCGCCGAAGATGTGCTCGAGCTGGTGGCTGGCGCACCAGAGGATGATTGTCAGGAAGGTGACGACGCTGATGAAGGACTGCATGCCTGTCCAGCGGTCCTTGACGGGGCGGATGGGCACGACGGTTGCATTGCGGCCCGGGCGGAATGTCACCAGCAGCAGAACCCAAATGAGTAGAATGGAGATGATGCAGACGGGCAGTGCGATGAAGAACCATGTGCCCCAGCTGATGTTGGGTTCCATGTTCTGCAGGGCAATGATGTTCTGCGGTGAGGCAATTGGGGATGCTGCACCACCGACGTTGGCGGCTAACGCGATACCTAGCACGAGTGCCTTGGCAAAGTCTGACTCAGGAGGCATGTTGCGCAGCAAAGGTTGAATGATCGAATAGCAGAGCACGGGAGACGCAACATTACTGATCCACATGCTCAGGAACATGCTCACAAACATGTTGGTCAACAGCATCACAGATGGCTTCGATCCAGCTTTGCTTAGCACGAACATGGCCATGCGTCGTGCGATATCGTACTTGGACAGCGCCGCTGCGATTGAGAACCCACCTAGGAGCAGCATAATCACAGGAGTCCACATCGCCGAGAACACCTTGCCGACTGATTCCTTGGGCCCCAATCGCGTGTGAGGCTCCTCGTCTGACCGCATGATGCCGAGAGTCACGACTAGGAATGGGATAAGAAGTGAAGTGACAAACAGCGGAATAGCCTATCACTCGATGTTAGCATTCGATGTGAGCAAAATAAACGAAGAGTATCCCATACCTCAGTGGCCCACAAGATACTAACAAGGACCAACATAGCCAAGCAGTTCTGCTCCTCAGGAGTGTCCATCACGTTCATGGAAAGTAATGCGCCGAAGATGGCGATGCTAAATACGAGCGTACCAAAGCTTAAGCTGCAGAGCCATAACGGGAACTGGAACCGACCAAGCGGCGTTGACATCTCCTGAGTGGGGATCTCGCTCTTATCACCCTGACGCCGTGCAGTGGTCGGGTCCTCATCGCCGCCCAGGAGTGTCCGGCGAATACCAACATTGGCGGCCTGCGCACGGCGTTCGATCTCGATCATCTCACGCCAAACGGTGTTCCGTTCCCAGACGACATGCTCACGCAGATGCAGACGCAGCTCGCGCCTAGCAAACTGCCTGTTGTTCTTCGTAACGATGCCCGCGTACACACACTCCACGTTCTCAATGTGCCGATCGATGTCAGTCATCGTGCTGTCGGTAAAAGGTGGCGCGGGATGGACAACAGAGGCTAGGTAGTCCCGGCGCAGGCTGCGGTCCAAGGTCTTGTCATACTTCTTCAAGGCCTTGGCGAAGCCAGTCTTGTTCAACTCGATGAAGGAGCGAAGTTCGCAGAGTGAGACATAGCATTCGATCAGACGCTTCTTCAGCGATATACCGGTATTATAAAGAGCGAGGAAATCCTCGTCATTGAAGTACGATTCATGCGGTTCTCGCGTGGTCGACTGTACAAAGTAGGAAGAGTCTGCCAGATCACCGTACTGGTCGTCCGTACCAGACTCGCCATCAGTCGACTGCAACAATCTCCGGCGCTGTGGGAGAGTCATCGGAGACCGGTCGTCGTCGCTATCGCCAGCTTCCCCTTCATCGTCGGCCATCGAGTCATTGCTCACAGCACTGGACCGCCGGCGCGGGACCGAGCTATGACCGTTGCCGCGGCGGGAGCTTGCCTTGATGATTGTCTCACTGACGGGGTCCATATCGACACCATCAGTCTCGGAAAGATATACATCGGCGTCTTTTATGAGCTCATCAGCGAGTTCAAAAATCTCCGCTTCCTTCTTCTGATAGAAAGAACAGATCTTATCCATCTCAACATCAAGAGCCCGTTTGAAGATTGCGTCCGGGTCACTCGGTTGAGCACCCAGCAGCGGAGCAGACTCCACATCTGTGGTCGACGGTCCCTCAATTCGATTGACTTGTTTCTCAAGGGTATAGATCCTGGTCACAATGCAACGTTAGCACCACGAAAACAATTATCCGATCCGGTGCCTCGATCCCGCGCAATGTGACACCAATTGAGATCCCCGAATCTGCACTACACCACCACAACCACAGAGCCCACTAATAATATTCAAGCCAACAACTTACAATTTCTTCAAATTGCTATACGCGATGTAGTTTGAGCTCCAATCAGGTACAGCATTGAACTGAATACTATGCGAGAACTTCATCTTGGCTTTGGAATCAGGATCGACGTTCCCGTGCGATGCGTTATGAGCGCGACGTCGGAGTGCCTCAGCCCAGAACCGAAGACGAGAGCCCTGAGGCTGGTCAGGCTCTAATTTCTTCTCCGATTCTCCAATACCAAGGCCCGCAAGCGGCTGCGAGTTGGCGGCAGGGTCTAACCGCCCAGCGCTATATCGATATCGGTCTGAGCGAGCGGGGCCAGATGCGCTTGCGGCGGCTGTGTGGGAGGGATGGTACTCGACAAGTTCAATGGAATCGGAGTGCGAGGTAGGAGCCACCGTCGAGGGAGGAGGCCGGAGGGTAGTCGGCCTAGGTCATTCAAGGAGTAGAGAGAGATGCGAGACTGAAGGGAATGTAGAAGTGGCCTCTATCGTGAGTGGGGGCGCGGAGAGGGTCAGCTGGAGCTTGGGGTTGCACTGGCAAATGGTCAAGTCGGCAATGATCTAACGCGGCACTCCACTGATCGGGGTGTATGGAGGATCTGGTTGGAAACTATTCCGAGACTGTAGACATGCAAAGTATTGAATGTATTGGCGCCTTTTTTTTTCTCCGACTCCAAGAACTTGCGCTCGAGCTAAGCTGTATATTAGGTAATCGTGCTGCTTGGCGGGGGCCTAACTGATAATGTTCTGTACAAAGCACTGGGAAAGCTGCCACAGAGAACAAAATAGGGTTGATGCATGGAAGCATTGATATGCAAGGCGTACAAGTAAGTTTGATTCAGGGCATGTGGCCTCCAATGATAGAAAATGTAATACTAGGCAATAAGCCGCCATACCTATATAGGGCAATGATATCGAGAGGTCACAAGCCACATTAAAAGCTCCGTCGCATATGTCGAATTCCAAGAATTGACATTGCGTAGCAGTTGTCTCGGAGAATACAATAAGCGCCAATGAAGAATAACAGTCAGTTTTTTTTTGACCGGACTATATAAATGTACATATGCAGAAGTGCTCAGAGATACAAGACAAACCCCAAAACCCAGATAGAAGAAATACAAGCCCATAAGGCCAATTTAGCGACGAACGTTAGTATTCAAGTTCGCACGACCAGAGATACCAATCTTGTGCTGCTGGTCCCTCTTCTCCCAGACACCGCTACGACCCTCAGCAACGGCCACCACCTCAGCCGCAACACGATTCGCAAACAATGCATCGCGTCGCTTATCCGACGCATCAAGAATCCACTTAATCGCAGTACGGCGGCGCTGGCGCAGAGTCAGCGGGTGGGGGATCTGCACGGCGGTACCACCACCGGCGATACCCTTCTGCTGGCGGATTCGGAAGAGAGGCGCCACGGAGTCGACGACGAGAGTGAGGTAGAGGACGGGGTCGAGGGGGAGCTGGGATGCTGGGGGAGCCCCGAGAAGACGGCGACGGGGGTTAATCTGGGGAGGAGAGGCGGTACGGAGGTGATCCAGAACGAGAGACATGTTCTAATATTCAGTTAGTCGATTTCTCAAACTCTCTCGCCAAACGTAAACAAGAAAAAGAAAACTATACCTTCTGTGCCTTGGTCAATTTCCCATCCTCCATCATCATCTTCGTGAACTGATCCTGCAGGGTATCGTAGCGGTTGCGGAAGTTCAACGTCTTCAGGTTCTCCGGGACAGCAGGCGGATCGAACTTAAGCCCAGGGTTCTCCTCAAGAGCCTGACCCTGCACCTGCTCGATCATGCTAGCAAGAGCAGCAGCGGCCTCATCACTAGCGCCCTCGAGCCCAGCCATATTGGGAATAGGGTTAGCCTCTTTGTTAGGCTCGCCCTGCAGATCGTTCATACTACTCCGAGCCGAAGTCGAGAACGAGCGCGAACCACCGGACTTCTTCAATGCGTCCCGCATGACCTTCGGCATGTGTTTCATGGCGTCCTTATCGCGGCTGAGGATCTGTTCCACGAAACACAGTTAACCACCATATCAAGCTAAGACCTAGCAAGCCCTCGGATTGTTAATTCTTGCTCACCTCCTCGACAGGCGACCCCTGATCTAACTCCGGAGTAGAAGGAATACCATCACAGCGCTTTTCCTTATCCATAATTCGGGAGATTTCGCTGGCCTCCTTGCTAACATCGGGCAGCTGATCGGCAGTCGGGAAAGTCTGCTCGTTGGGCTGGGGCTCCTTCTTCGAGCCATCGCGAGAAGAGTTCCATCGGCGCTGGATGGGTAGTGACTGGACGGCGTGGGATCGGACCGGGCTGGCGATGCTCCGGGGAGAAGGCAGTGCGGGAGTGGTGGATTGGCGCAGGGCCGAGACGGCCTTGTTGGCCGCGAAGAGGTTGAGTCGAGGCGGCATAATTGCGGTTGTGTTGGCCCCTTTACAATTATTGAGACGGGGGGTCGAGATTAATCGGCCTGTTTGGGGAAGTTTGCGGTCTCGAGTAAATTTCCGGGATCTTAGTAAGCGCCAAGGATTTGGCCCCCGATGTGAGGTCGTGAAATATACAACTGATGGAAATATGAGAGGTTATGGATGCAGGTGGATAATTAGTCTGAATTATGGTTAGAGTAAAGCTAAGCTTGGATTTGTCTCCCCATGTGCCCTGGCTTATGGTGAAGGAAAGACTTTTCCTGCTAATTCCAAGTTATTATCTAGCATAGATATATTTCCGCGAGGTACTATAAGATGTCGATATAGAAATCCATCAAGTGATCACTTTTAATGATGTATTTGACTCCTTTTCTGGAGTACTCTTTATAAGGACTTAGATAAATATACCCGTACATGCAATTTTGACTACCAATGTACTATAGACAAGCAGGGTTGACGTAGAATACAAGGAAACACAGCAGACGCTACATGTAGGGCATCAAAGAATCAGATAAACAAATAAACAAAAGAGGGCCCTAGAGACTGGGCAAAGACTACAGCCACCCCTCCCCCAAACCGAAAATAAACCCCCCAAAACCCAAGTAATAGCTTAGTTGGCACCAACACTATCAGGGTAGACATAGAACGCCAAGGCAAGAATGAGATACATGCCGAGACACATGCCACCCTCCAGGTAATTAGACTTTCCATCCTGAATAAGCAGGGTAACAACCAAGCCAGAAATAAAGAAAGCAACGGTCTCAAAGGTCTGGAAGTGGAGTGTCATCTCGATACCCATAATCCAGCCCAAAATAACCAAGAAGGGCGTGACAAACAGCGCAATCTGCAAGCTGCTACCAATAGCGACTCCAATCGCGAGATCCATCTTGTCCTTGTATGCAACCACAACGGCAGTGACATGTTCCGCAGCATTACCCACAATCGGGATCAGTACCAGTCCAATGAATGTCTTGCTCATGCCTGTCGTCTGTACAAGGGGGTCGATAGCATCGACTAGGTAATCGGCGCAGATAGAGACGAGGACGGTCACGACGACGAGAACCACAGCCGCAGCCCAGGGGCTGAGAACGCGCTCCTCTTCTTCTTCCTCCTCCTCGGCGCCAGCGACGTTCTCGGTATCGCTGCAATTCGTCTCTTCAAAGAGGTCGGAGTGGGATCCCAGCTGGAAGTAGAGGTACATGACGTAGATAAGCAGGAGGATGATGGAGGTGCCGTGCGACAAGATGAGGATGTTCTTCTGGGCAGCCTTGTCCGGGTCCGGGATTTCGCCTGTAGCGTCCGGCTTGGCCACGGAGTTGTCCGAGATCGCGGCGTAGAGGGTGGCAGGGATGATAAGCGATGCGGACGCCACAGCCATGAGCGAGGACATGGTTGATGCCACGGTGCTGTTGAAAGACTGTTCGCGGAAGCGGAGTCCACCGACGAAGAAGCAGCAGCCCAGGACGAGCAGGATGTTAGACAAAATGCTGCCCAGCATGCTGGCCTGAACGACACGAATCTGGTTCTGTCTCAGGGCAATGATACTGACCTATCAAGAAACAAGAAAATTAGCATCGTATCAACACCTACACCTATGACCCGCTAACACATTGGGCATTAATTCGGGGAGGATTGGCAAACTTACGATCAGCTCAACGGCATTTCCAAAAGTGGCATTCATCAAGCCGCCAAGCGATTGGCCGAGAGTAGCAGCCAGCTCCTCGGTAGCAAAGCTGAGCAGCGAAGCGAGGGGAACAATAGCAAAGAAATTGAGCGTAAAGACAGTAGTGGAGTCCCATTCGAGGGCACCGGCGATGATGCCAAAGGGGACGAAGATAAGCAGGACATTGACATAGTCGCGGACGAGGGTCTTCCACGTCAGATGGACGACGTGCATCGGCCAGTGCACCCACACGCGGCTATCATTGGGATGTTGGTGGTGTCCATGCTCGTCGGCGTGAACGTGAGGCGAGAGGCCAGCGAAGGAGTCACGGTGTGCGCCGAGTAGTCCTGTCCGCTCATTGGCGTCCAGGGAGCCGTTACCAGAGGTCATTCTTCGTGGCCCGAAGGTATGGCTTCGGAAGTGGGAGCGGAAGTTTGGGAGAGCTGGATATAATCTCGAGTTAGTTTGGAGAATTATGCGTCCGTTGCACGGAATTATATAATGTTAGTAGGCTTTCTGTGAAAGCCGGAAAGGAGCGGATGGGAGGAATGAGAGAAGAAGGGGAAGGGGAGTATATCAACCCACACATAATTTCTACCAAGCTTCCAAGGTTTCAAAGAGGTTAATGGAATGGATAGTCGGTGGGGGGTTCAAGCCACGTCCAATGTTTCTAAGGTTCCTTTCTTCCCGGCTGTGACTTGAAATTTCAGTGGGAAGGTTAGCACAGCCTGTCGATTGTTAGGAACATGCAGAGCAGGGGTGGAGCGTTGGGTGGCCAAGGTGGGTGTGGCCCAGTCAGTGGAGAGAGGAGCTCGGAGATGACGACCCACTAGCCTTGATTCTCCACATAACAGACTATTAGGGTATGGTGATTGGCTACAGCTCAAAGCCAAGACCGTGCACTGCCACAGTCGACGATTGGATGCACGGACAATTGTGTTTCGGAGATCCATGGATGCTGACGACTTAGACTTTGTACATATAAGAAGCGCTGTTGGGGAAATAACATTATGTAGATTGGAACTATATAGCACATGGTATATGTCTTTTAACACCAGTAAAAGGAGAACCCCAGTCCACATAAAAAAAATAGGTCAAAGGATACATCAGGTTAGTAAGTCACATCAAGAAATGAAAGAAAAATAAAATAAAAGGAGGGTCAAGACACAGAGAAAAATAAGATAAAAAAGAGGTATAAAGGATAGAATCGAAAAAAAGAAGAGAAAAAGGGTCGTCATTACTCCTCCGGCAGCGTACCATTGGCTTTAAAATCCATCCGACTGCCCTTGCGTCCGACACCCTTGAGCATACTGAAACGACGGAACACAGAGTCCCGCATCCCGCTATTACTATTATTGAGCACAGGGGACAGCGGGGCCGTGCCATTTGTGGTTGTCAGAGTCACCGCATTACTCTCCCGTGTGACAGGCCGCGAATAATCGCGCGTAGACGGGAGCGTCGACCACCCACCACTGGAGGCAGGCGGAGCCCGGTCCGTGGCTGCGCCGGTGGCAGTAGGGCCACGGTGCTGGGAGCCGGCGCGACTGCGGCCGTCGTTGGAGCGGGCGGCTGTGTCGCGGGAGACACTGTGCGTGTTCAATGATGTCTGGGATTCGTGGGCGACGGACGGCGAGGAGCCATGCTTGTATGCCTTGTCGCCGCCGAAGAAGCTGCGGCGCTTCTCGCTTCGGCCGCCGCGGGAGTGGCTGGTTGTGCGGCTGTGGATCGTGGCCGTGTCGTCATCGAGGCTTTCATCTTGTTCCCCCACTATTTGGCCCTTGCTGTCGGATTGCTGGATGGTGAAGATGGAGTTGGTGGCGCCGTGGGATCGCTTAAAGGGGTTGATTATGCTGATCCGGTGACTAACGGATTGTCTGTCGGAGCGCTTGCGGGTGTGGGCATTGCCTCGGGTTGCGCGGTTTAGGTCTTGTTGTTCCGGATTAACAACTCTCTGGATGGGTGGCATTCGGCGGTTGTCGCTCAAGGAGGGGGATTGGCGGGCTGTTTGGGTGGGTGTAGGTGATGAGTACTCCAGTGGAGCTGGGAAGAGAGAACCCAGCTCGGACTCGAAGACATCTTCAAAGCGTCGAAGCAGTTCAGCTTGGGTGGCTTGCTGAGCGGGACGCTGATAAAGAGACAGTGCTTGTTTGATAGCCAAGGCGTGGTCGACGAGTGCAACGGAGAGCGCAGTCTCCATTGGGTCCACAGGCTGCTGTGTTGCTGGCACCTCTTCAGCGTCTTCATCAACTTCCTCGAGCAGCTTGTTCCTTGCCATCTCGGCATCGGATAGGAACACACGGTACGATGCCACACAGTTGGAGTTTGACGACCCGACCTCAAGAAGCGATTCCAAGGCTTCAGTCAGATTAGACAAGCCAGAATCCTCACCCGACGCAGCACGGCGCCCAATAAGTTGAAGCTCCTGTGTCTTGCGCCACGTGCGCTCAATGGCAGTCTGTAGAGGCGACAGAGCAACCTCCCGGGCAGAAATAATCTCACTACGACGGAGGATATTCGGGAACGCTTCCGAGACAGTGAAAACGAGCTTTTCAACGAATTGCTCGCGGACATCCGAGCTGCTTGTGTGTCGTCGCGAGGTGGCAGAGAAACGAGACGGATCCGAGATCAGTAGGTGCTCGCGGACAGAGGACGGAACCTTGGGGCGCTGGTAGACAGGATGAGACACATCGCGGTAAGCGCTGACGGCGCTGATCTGAAGGAACTGGCCTTCGTAGTCAGGAATCTCGCCAGTAGACATGACCTGCGCAGTAGGGTGTTCCCGCTGCATGCGATCCACGAAAGAGGCCATGCGTTCTGTCGGGGACGTCTCGAAGATGAACTCCTTATCCCGCAAGCCTGGAGGGAATCCGAGACCCTTGTAGACCACACGGAAGTAACGCGGGAATTGTTTGCCGCCCTTGGCGATGAAGTCGTAAATTCGAGCCATGGAGCTTTGGGCTCGGGAGAGCTTGGCGAAGTCCATTGTCGTGTGCTCGTAGTGCACTGCGAGCTCCTTGTAGCAAGCTAAAGCGGGGCCCCAGGCCATGGCATTTTCGAAGTGCTGGATAATGGAGAAGTACAAAGCCTCTCTCCGTTCGAACGCATTCTGAGGTGGGAATGCGGGTCTGAGCAGTTCCGGCATATGCTTGGCGAGATCCCATTCGTAGAGGTCGGCATGGAACTGAAGGGCAAGACCTGCTTCAGTAAAGTTGCCCGCTGCGGCCTGAGCTTCGGCAAGTTCATGAACGTAACGGATAAAGATATCCTCGCGACCCATGTCCTTCATATATTCCATCAGCTTCAGGGCGTGCAGACTCTGGGTTGAGGCGCCGCTCTGAGAAGCCACCAAAAGATCCAAGAGCTCATCAACTGTCCCGACAAGACTCTTGACAGCATTCGACAATAGATCATCGGATATCGTCTCACTCTCGAACAGATCCAATAGCTCGCCGATAAAAATCTTCTGGCTAACGCTCTCATTCATCTGCTTGGACTTGAACAGGGCATCTAGGCTAGAAATGATCTCCGTTTCAATAATGGAGATATCCTGGTTCAGATCCCATTCGCTCAGAATCATCGTCTGCAGTATTTGAACAGCAACATGTCGCAGCCCCTCGTGGACACTGAGACAAAGACCAATGATGGGAGGAACCAGGCCGGGAACATACTGAACCTGATAACCGCCCAGCTTTTTCAAATTGAAGCGCTCCCTCTCATCGTCTGTGGTCTCCCAACCAATGGCTTCCCAGGTCGACTGTAACAAGTCGGCCCCTTGCTCGCGCACATCGCCGGCGATCTTCCAGACAGCACGGCGCTTCTGCTCGGGGAAGGTCTCGAGCGCAAGGACATCGCTGGAAATCACCTTCAACAGAGTCGTGAAGAATGACTCCCACAGCTTGGTATCAAATGTGTCGGCATCATCCGGTGCCGGAAGGAACTTGTCAATTAGCAACACTGCAATATGTTCAAGACTTTTGATAGTCGCGCGGTGGTTGTACACATGAATACTAAACCAATTCTCGGGATAAGCCTCGCAGTCGAGGATGGAGTTGTGGGCCTCAAGGGTCTGAGCAACAAATAGTGCAAGCTCCAATTCTTTCAAGGAGGGAAGATTGGGAGACGGGATCTTGGAAATGGCAGCCATGAGCGCAGACAGTTCAACCAAAGACTCATCGAAGCTCTGAGGAGTCTTGGCAGTCTTCATCTGGAAGGGGAAAGCCTTGCTGAAAAGTAAAGACAGATATTCCGTCTCTTCTACCCCCTCAGTGGAGATAGCACAGTAAGAGGCGACGATGCTTGGCATGAACCCATAAAGCTGAGGATCAGACTGGCTGAGCAATTGAGCCACGATTGAGCTGCTCAGTCGCACCTGATCACGATACAAATCCGAGACGGCCGAGGTGGAACCCCAGTATGGAGCCAACCAGCCAATACAGCTGGAGATCAAGGTTCGTCTCTCCTCGCCAGAGGCGAAAAGCTCAAATTGGGTATAGTTCTGGATGAGAACCAGCTTATAGAGTATCAACATTCCGGTGACATCTTTGCATGAATCCATGAAACTCAAAGCGATCATGATCATTTCATCCTTGCTCAGGACGTTGGAGAGCTCAGGTAGCCACGTATGGAAATGTTGAACCACCAGTGTTTTGCTGCCGACCAAAGCGGGCGAGGAGTTTTTCATCAAAGTCTCCATCGACTTGAAAATGGTATGCATGTCTCTGTTGAAGGTGGATTGCACTGTGGTGATGCCAATACCTTCCTCCTTGGCCTTTTGCTGCTCGCGGGCTTTGATGATGAACTTCAACAGATGGCGTCCCACCTTGAAGGCAGCGCGAAGACTTCGAGATTGCGTACCGTCGGTCCCTGCGTGTAAGAGGCGCAGGTAGCTTCGAATAAGGCACGGGGTAACGAATGGGAAGTTAAATTGCTCATCGGTGTAGTGGTCGACCAGCGGGCCTAGGTTGTATCGTCGATCATGAACAATCCCCAGAACAGTGACCAGGTCGTTGAAGATCAAGTTTTCGTATTCTTCGTTGCCAGCATTCTCGACCAGGATTCCGAAGAGCGCATCGAAGACGCCGCTAAGTTGTTTGACAATCTCGATCTCGGGAACAAAGAGCAGACGCTTTAGGGTATCTAAGACCTCGTCCACCGGCCGCTCTTTCCAATTCAGAAGACCCAGAATGACTTGATCCTGGGAGTACTCTGTGCTGCAAAGATGGGTTTCAAGGTGCAGAGTGGCCAACGGGCCCGTCACAGCTTCATCTTTGGCAGATTCATTCTTGCCGAGCGCGCTCCATGGGAGGTTCAGGTAAGCACCCTTTCCATTCTCAATGCTAGATGTCTGCTTGTCGTAAGCATGCAATAGCAGAGAATGACGCCCATCTCTA